TATTCTAAAACTACTTCTACTTCTTACATGACTACTAATATCACTACTACAACTACCTATTATCATACTTCTAGTCGTACAACTTAAACTTATGCCACTTCTCACTTTTCTGTGTTTTAAGAAATTTTCTTCCTTATCCATTTTTTTTGCAATTTCAGACAGTTTTTCTAGCCTTATTCAGCATGAATGTAATTTTGATTTATGAAGCACATCCATACTATTTGTACTTAAACAATTTTCACTTTCATCCAACTTCTACTTCTTCTCCTTCAGCCCTTTAATCAATTTTACATTTAAACCTTCCTCCATTTTTTAGCACTTTTGCATTGCTAATTTCAGCTTTCAGCACTCAGCATTTCCAAGCATTTTCTGCAAGGAAATGCAATTTTTTTCCGGTATTATTGGTCCCTTCTCTATCCAGAAGATTATTGACCCCCCGGTGGTAAGACTGAAACTTCCCTCATCCCTTAAAATTCACCCCACGTTTTATGTCTCCCTGATTAAGCCTGTCACCTCATGCACCCTGAGCCCTCCTTCCATCGCCCCTTTTGGACTCTGTTTTGGACATTAAAAATACACCTTTAACTTGCTATCTGTCTCTGAGTCTGCTTCTGGGTCCACAAAATTCACCACACGCCACAGAAATCCTGTCTAGGTGATCTTCTCTGTGTGGATTGATGCACATTGGAAGTATAGAGCAGCAAAAAATGACTCACCACGTATCTTTAGCAGTGCTACTCTCGATACAATGCTGCGACGGAGCTGATACGTGTCCTGTATGCTTTGCTGCATTGATTAGAATGGCAACCTATTTGCTGCGTGATATGCGATGCTGCTGCCATTCTCCAAATACACTTCCTGTATGTTTTAGCCTTAAGGAGAAACAAAGCAAAAACAGATTTTTGTATAAGTCCAGATATGCATAAGAAAAATCCTCTTTTTTTTGGTGCAACTGCTGGGAGGGGCTGGACTTCCTAAACTAAGTCCTGATCTTGGGCTGCAGTATCTCAGAAGGTAGAGCGGATTGGCCAATAACTGAAAGGTTGGCGGTTCAAGCCCCGTCCTGTCCCTAGTCTGTCCGTTGTGTCCTTGGGCAAGACACTTAACCCACCTTGCTCCCAGTGTGTGTCCTCCACTGGTGTATGAATGTGAGTGTTGTGTGGTGGTGGTCGGAGAGGCCGTAGGCGCAAAATGGCAGCCACGTTTCCGTCAGTCTGCCCCAGGGCAGCTGTGACTACTAAGGTAGTTTACCACCACCAAAGTGTGACTGTGTGAGTGAATGAATGATGTATCCATTGTAAAGCGCTTTGAGGGTCTCTGATAAAGCGCTATAAAAATCTGATGCATTATTATTATTATCTGTTTGGTGTGAGGGGGTCTTCAAACTGGATCAGGACCTTATTGGCATTACAACACAAAGTAATCTCAATATAGGATAAGCAACTCTCCGGGGCTCAGTGTAACTTTTTGGGACTAATGTTTTAGGATAAAGAGGAGAGGTTAGTGAGGTCAAAGGTCACAGGTCTCTGTTTAGCTGTCAACATAAAAATCTAACTTTATGGGGTCACCTCAGGTTACGGTTAGTCCCTTTCATTAGGAAAGTAGCCCGCCTTTTATCAGATGTCAGAGATCAGCTGTCTCTCCATGGTTGTCCTCTATCAGCTGGTCTGTGGCCCTGATGTCACCGGTCAAAGGTCACAGGTAAAAGTGCTGCTTTGAGGTTCTAGTCCCAGGAGCCAATATCTGATGAAAGGAAAGGAAAGTACTGAGTGTGATGGTGGAGTAAACAGTTCCTGTCAGCGATTGTTTTGTTTTGAGATGTTTTTACAGCTTCCTTCCTTGTCCCCTCCCATCTTAGAGACTGAAATGTGGAGACCTTCTCTTACTTCATAGATGAAGATAACTGCTAATTATTGCTAATGAGTAAATAAAAATGGTGGATTCTGCTGGGTCAGTGTACTAACAGTCAGTTAGTACACTCATGCCCATGGTAAACAAAGAACTGTATTGACCCAAGCAGTGGTGTACTCAGGATGTTTAAGGGCTGGGGTTGAAAAAAATTAAAGAGCCATAAAAGACCATAGAAATGCATTCTTATGACATAAACCTTACATAACAACCAAACAGGTGCAGAAACAATACCAGCTTGTTTACATTCCATCTGCTAAGAAAGTAACCACAGGGTACATTGTTAACATGAAACACAATTTAAGAGCAACCAGAAAATCATTTATGTACATTTAATCTACTGACAGTGTAATAAGAAGATCATTTGATATAGTTAATCCACCCAAACAGCTACCAGGGGGGCTGGCAGGGCATCTAGAGGGCACTTTGTATACATTTATTGGCATTAGTCTGGCATCATGTGTTCCTTTGTATTTATCTTTTTGTTTTGATTTTCTAAAGCCAACATTTTTCATAAAGCTTTTCAGGGATTGACTTACAGCTATAGACAGCCTCTAGTGAACACTAGAGAACTTGCAGGTTTTGGCACTTTACCATCAGTTTTGCTTTTGTGACTCAAATGTTTTCTGCTTTTTCACACTGATAGTAGAGCTGTAGATTTTTTCATAGCAGCACTTGTATGAGTATTAATCAATCAATCAATCAACTTTATTTCTATAGCACATTTAAAAGAACAACAAGGGTAGCCAAAGTGCTGTACAATGACACATAAAAACAAATAAAACAATCAAAGAACAAGATAAAGCGAGCAGAAATACATCAATGAAAAAGAATAAATACATGTATAAATAAGGAGGCTCACGGCAAGTGCTAAGATGTTAAAAAAACAAATTAACACTACAATGTATCAAAAGCCAATGAATAAAAGTGTGTTTTTAAAAGGGATTTAAAAACAGGAAATGAGGAGGCCTGTCCCCTCTGAGCTTCAGCCTTGTACTGGGGACCGTCAGTAAAAGCTGATCAGCTGATCTTAGGGGTCGGGGTGGGCAATAAGGCTGGAGCATCTCAGAAATATAAGGTGGAGCAAGATTGTTCAGGCCTTTAAAAACAAATATTAAAAGCTTAAAATGAATTCTGTACTGTACAGGGAGCCAGTGTAAGGACGCCAGGATGGGGGTGATGTGCTCACGCCTGCTGGTCTGGGTGAGGAGACGTGCAGCAGAGTTCTGCACAAGCTGCAGGCAGGCAAGGGAAGCCTGGCTAATCCCTACGTACAAGGAGTTGCAGTAATCAAGACGGGTAGTGATAAAAGCATGGATTAATTTTTCCAGGTCAGGTCTTGATAAAATGGGCTTCACCTTCGCTATTTGACGTAGCTGATAAAAACTTTTTTTGTACCACCCCGCTGATCTGCTTCTCAAATTTAAAATCAGGGTCAAACTTAACTCCCAGATTAGTGACAACCTCCTTTAGGTAGGGTGAGAGGGAGCCTAGGTCGATGTTGGGGGGGTGGCCGCCACTTGGTCCAAACAACATTACTTCAGTCTTGTTCTCATTAAGACTGAGGAAGTTAAAAGAAAGCCAGGCTTTAACGTCCTTAAGACAGTCAGTGAGTTGTTGGACTGAGTCAGAGTTGTTTTGTGTTAGTGGAAAATAGATCTGACAATCATCAGCATAAAAATGAAAGGATATGTCATGTTTCCTTAAAAACAGAACCAAGGGGGAGCAGATAAAAGGCAAATAAAAGAGGGCTGAGGATTGAGCCCAGGGGGACCCCATATGGAAGTGGAGCTGTTGACGACACAGAGTTGTCAAGTTGAATGCAGAAACTTCTGTCCGTTAAATAAGACCGGAACCAGTCCAGGGCGACACCCTTAATGCCCACACAGTGCTCCAGGCGAGAGATTAAAATGCAGGTCTGGCCCAGGTATTGTTACATCATGCTCCTTCTGTGTTTGGTAATAGAGGAAACTCTTGTTGGATCTCAGTCTGTGTTTCCTTGTTTATAGTTTTCACACTTTAATAGGATCACTACATATTCAGGCTGCTTCTGGCTGGAGGCTGAAAATTCAACCTCGTGGCTATTCTTGTAACAGCCCTCATTGTTGTTGTTACCCTCTTTCATTCCTGAAAGGCACACAGACCTGTACGTCTGCTCTTTTTTCTGCGCTGATGCATGAATGAGAAAAGAAAGAACCAGCCTGTATTAATAACTAATAAAGATGAGTGGTAGTCAAATAGCTATATGCATGCTCTGTGGAGGGTCAGAGAGGTCTGGGATTATGGTGGTCACGCTGAGATAAAATGTTCACCAGCTCTGCAGGAGGTTGTCTGAACAGGAGTGAATAAATGGAGCAGTTGTGCCAGTATCAGCTGAGTGGATTGTAAATTATATTGGTCATTACGTGCCTCTTGGTTTTGGAGAATTAGTCCGGTCTGCTGCTGCTGCAGCTCTGTGTAACAGCTGCCTTTTACAATAAAACTGGCCTGAATGGAGAAACTGTGAAACTGAGTAGATCTCTTGATCCTCTGGCTGGATAATACAAACCACTCACAAGCTTCGGGATTTAATCAGTTAAATCCCTCTTTTCACTAATATGCTCAAAGAGGGTTTCCTCTATATGTTATTATGCCATCCAACACATCCCTTCTGAGGAGACATACTTTCCACATTTTATTGTACCAATAAACTGTATGTTTTACTCTGTTATTCTGTGAAGATACCTCTGAGGTTACTTCTGCTGCAGGAGCACAAAAACACAAGTCCTGCACAGAAAACCGATAATTCAAGATCTGTGTTTGTTAAATGTTATGCTTGCAATGGCTGAACTCCAAGGCCATGCACTAGAACACTAAACTCCAAAAGATACACAACTGCTGGGAAATGCAGCAATAAATTGTAGATTTTAAAGTGTAAAACGGTCAAAATGCAGACTTTAGTGTGTGAAATGTGCCTTTGACAGTTTCTTGTTATTTGTTTCCTACTGCAGTAAAATGCCACCATATTAGGCCATATAGGCCTGCTGACTTGAATCATGTTTAGTTAATTTAATATCATCCGTTACTACTTAATTCCTGATCCTGTACACTGAATTAATATTCTTCCATCCATCATTAGACATCCAGGATGAATGACTGAGCTGCATTCATCCTGGATGTCTAATGATGGATGGAAGAATATTAATGAATCCAAAACAAGGGCATCCAGGCTTAATTGGTTGCAAGAAGACCAGCCAGAATGAGAAGACACGTATTTATCAAGCCAGATGAAACCAATCCTGGCTTAGTGGCACACGTAGCTTCTTTAAATAGACCCCATCGTCAATAACCATGACACACCATGACAACAAGAACGGCATACTTTTCCCCGTCCGAAGCAGAATGTGTCATGGTGGCTTACAAGGAAGTAAAAGACCAAATTAAAAAGAAAGGCAACATCGCCACAATTATAAAACAACAAGGTAAAGTGTGGCAAAGAACTGCAGGCCGCCTGAATGCGTAAGTATGGTGTGCAAATACATACTTGCTGCTCCACTGAAACCTTCACACTTACAATCCAAACAGTTTAATTAACGTCTCTAAAAATTTAGCTAGTTGTACTCCGATTATGAATCTTTTGAAATTGTAAGTGTGAAATTGACTGCAGATGTGAGTGAAATTGTGTAAATGTAACTCCATCAGAATGTAAAATCTTCCAGACTCAAACCCCACCTGATCAGAATAGCCCACTCTTTGTAATTTACTCTGTCTCATTTTATAATGTGTTTGGTTGTATCTTGTTTTATCAAACTGTTTTTATCAGTAAAGTAACCTGGAGTATCAAGAAAGATGCATATTTATAAAATGTATTTATTATCAATATGACCTCTAACCTTACCTTACAAATTACAGGACTGCTGTCAACAGTCATAGTAGAATAGCCTACTCATTGCTTCTGTTACAGGTTTCCTCAATGTGAGTGGTGCACTGGAATGTCAATGTCAGTGGTTCAGGTGAACATGGCTTTTTTTTGTCAGCTAATGAACACTGTGCATTGCTTGTGTTGTGCAATGATCAGTTTAAATAGTCTGTCGAAAGATCAGACGGAGGGTAAGGCTTTATAAGTTGAACCCAGTTTATTATAGCTCACTGGTACAGCTATCAGTAACGTAGTGGGTAGCAGCATAGAACAACAACAGTGCTGGAACCGCTTGCACATATGCAGTAGAACCCCCACAACTACTGTGGCTGCCAAGGTACAATAATTACCAACTGAGCATTACGTGAATGCTCTACAGTCTTCATGTTAGGATTTCAGATGGTCTGTAATGCTAACTGTCTCATCAGCATTGTTGAGGCAAAGTGACCTGGTTCGCTGCATGACTACCGAGACATTGGGACCTCTGGAATCAATCAGATTTTATCACAAGGTGAGCCACATAACCTCCATTAATCAACACTTTTTACATCATGGCAGTGTCAAAAATGTCATTCTATTATGAGGTTGTGATGATGACATTTTGTATTGACAGGTGAATTCCCTGGTGTGTTACTGGGGGACAGGGGGTATGCCTGCCAGCCTTTTCTGCTGAAACCAATCACAGACCCTCAGGAAGCACATTAGGCCTAAAATCATGCCCATTACAGGACAAGGACCAGGATTGAAATGATCTTTGGCCTCCTGAAGCCATGCTTTCACTGTCCTCAAGACTTCAGGGTCAGCCCTTTGAGGACCTGTGACATCACTGTGGTCTGTACTATCCTCCACAATGTGGAGGAAGGAGAGGGCCCTCAGTGTGCATGACACATGGACTTGGACAATCCTGCCATCTTCCCTGATGACCGACAGCGGTTGGCTGATCAGGGACCAATATGTGTTAAACTATTTGAGTAAACATGCATCCTTTAAATTTCAGTTAAATATGTCCTGTCCTTTTTTTATTTCAATATGAGTTGATCTGACATCTTATGATGTTTGTGTTGTATACTGTGTGTTTTTATTCTTAGGCTGTATAGTGTGCTTTGATTCTGTGCTTTCTATCTTTTAGAGTCACTGTGTGACTTTAGTTTTGAAAGGAGCTGATGGTTCTTTTGCTTTGATTTATCCTTATTCAATAAAGGAACTTCATGTCACTCTCATGGATGTGTATTTATATTTATATGGCATGTGTAGTATATGGGAAACTATAAATTCCCTAATGATTGCAAAATCATCTAAAATTTAGAAAAAATAATAGTATTAGATTATTTAGATAATGACAGTGGGTCTAGTTGAATGTGATAACATTGTGTAGTGGGCAGTAGAATAACCATTGGTTTCCATTTGTGGTGACTGCTGACTGAGATAAGGTATAAAAATGAATAAATCCTGGAATTTAGCCTGGTCTGGAGCAGGCTAGCTCCCCAGGATAAATCTTGATGGTAACTTATGCCACACCAATCTTCCCACTATCGTGGTTTTGTGCAGCTGGATCACAGATAAATTAAGACAGGATAACCAAGATATCCAGACTTAATCCCTTATCCTAGTTTTGTGTAACAGGCCCCAGGACTCTGTATGAGCTGTTGTTGTTGTTGCTGTTGCAGCCAACTGCTGGACATTATCCAGGGGTATTTTTCCTGCATGCTTTTCAACAGCCATATTAGAATTACACACAAAAATTACACACATAACAGGAAATTATTGAATTGTTAAACTGAAATAAAGGTGACATCAGCTTTATCATCTATCTTAGAAAGGCATAAATTCCACAGAAAATAAGCCATTATCAGACTGTTGGTGTTTTTTTTTGTTTTTTTTAACCTCTGTAAACAGCTTTATCTCCCCTGCTCCTCCCTCCTCCACCAAGCTTCTCCCTTTCATACTGTGTCTGATTTTACCAGGGTCATATGGACCCTGCTGGACTCTGGGGGTCTTTGCTGCTGCTCTCCCTGCCTCAGGCTTTGAAAGGTCATAGATGCACAGAGAAGGGCCAAGAGCTGAACTGTGACTTGAAGTTATGCAACAGCATGCAGCTGCAGGACTTTACCCATAAATCCCTGTCAGCACTTGAGGAGATTAAAGAGGAGTAAATGCCCACCCTAGGAGCAGCACATGAGAATAGTGCTGCAGAGTCAAGTTTTTTTTATTCCTCTCTGCTGCAGGACAGACAGAAGTTGACTTTGACTTTTTAGAGCACAGATTAGGGTTTTGTGTTTTTGAGGTGAAAGTGGATCAACAGTGCAGCATATAAAGACAGGAGTGAAGCTTTGCCTTTCCTTAGCCGCAGTTTTATCGGGACATTAATAAAACTCCAGATTTGTGGATGCTAGTCAGGAGGGAGCTGAGTCAGAAGTCTGTAAAATCACTTTGTTTGCTCTTCATAATTTCCTTCTGTCTGAGGAAATGTTTGCTCACTGTCTTGTCTCCTTGCCTCCTAACACTGGGACAAACACTGTTAACTATATGCACAGGAGAAAGCTTGTTTTTTTTAAATCACTCATTTCCCCTCCTGTGTGTCTGTCTGTCTGTCTATCTGTGTGGATGCTGCTGCTGTTTGTGTCTTTGTTTTGTATCATCTTGTCCTCTGTCTTGCACAGTGAGGCACTTATTTCTGCACTGTCGGTTCTTTCTGTGTTTAAGAGTCCTCCTTTAATTATCCTGTACACGTCATGCACACTTGGCTCCACATTAAACGCTGATAACTGCCATTTCTCTCAGCCCAGGCACCTGTCCCGCCATAATAAATCCACATTTTTTATTGGCGTCATTATTTCCCTGTGCTGTTGGTTTGTGCTCACTGTAAAGCTCCAGCTCAGCAGGTTTTGGCTCTGTTGCTGCTCCGTGCCAACAGATTTATTTGTTTTACCTCACTGGATCAGTCCCACATACTCTGCTCAGCACAGGAACAATAACATGACTTTGTTGTGTCATGGAGGTTGAGTCACAGCAAAGATAGATCATTTAGTGTTCCCCACATCAACCGGAGACCAATGTGCCAGGATTTATGATGGTGGAGGGTCAACTGGTATTGGTTTTTTAAGGTAATTACTGATACTGATTATTAGTAGCACTCCTGATCTCCTGATTTAGCATGTACAGTAGCAAACTGGATGTAAATGCAACACTTTGGGCTCTATTTTCGTGCCCGCCGGCGACGCAGCGGAGGGTGGCAGACCTCGCGCGGTGGTATTTTCGTCTGGCAGAGCCCGGTCACAGCCAATGGTATTTTGGTAGACTGAGGCACACCGAAGTCCGCCAAGATGGGCGTGGCGGTGCGGCAGGGGGAGGTGTCGACAGAATCAGCTGGTGCAGTGACATTTTCATGCTTGCCGGTGGCGTAGAAAGTGTGCTGAAAGCCTGACGATTTAAACCTGGTCAGCTTTCAGCACAGGTGGATATCTATACAGATATATTTTGATCTTGTTAGGTGTTGTGAATAGGTGGACCCAGAGCAGAGGCTGAATCAGATCAGGATTTCAACAAACAGTGATTTTTATTTACATGTGAGTAAAAAGTGAACAAAGCAATGATGGTGGTGGTGGCGGGAGCTCGTGGAGACCTGGAAAAAACGAGAAAGAGAGAAGGAGTTAGTCCAGCGGTAAAACGAGCATGAATCCACAACAGTCATCAAAAAATGAAGCACAAGATAATCTCCGTGAGGGGAGAAGAGGCTTAAGGCCAGCACAAACGTAGTGAACGAACCACTTAGTCAGGCAATCAGCCGGCACTGAGAAGATTCCTCCCTGGGCTCTTGTAGGCAGGTAATCAGACCGGAATTAGCAGCAGGTGAGGTCTCCAGCAGGTGATCAGCTCCCGCGGTGCCACCCATGCAGGAAGTGAAGAGAGGGATCCTGAGCAGCCTACAGCGCCGCTCAGGCGAAATGGATAAAGGGGGGAAGACAGCCCGAGAGGGGAGGGCAAAGAGGAGCAAAACTGGAGGACTGGGGACCAGTCCTCACAGATCTATATCTAATCTGATATGATATGATATAATCTGATCGATATCTGATCTGATATGTTCTGATCTGATCTTGGCACGCGTTTGGACACACAACCTGACCAAATCAACACAGCTGAAACCGCATTAAATTGAATTAAATATCTAGTAAATAGACACACATGATGAAGTTAACAAGATATTTAATTTGTCTCCCCCCAATTTCTATCTTCCTCTTATTTCTCGCGCAGCTCGACCCGGACACATCTCTGTGTTTTCTCCCCGTC